CAGACGATTTCCGGCAAGCATCCTGCTAATAAGCTAAGCACGCGCACACTTTTCTAGGGATCACAGAAATTTCAGCATTTTGTTGAGATTTAGAATTTTATCGTGTAAAATAAATTTCAAGTAGCCCCTACCAAAAATATTTCTGCTTTATAATTTCAGTTCAATCATTGTAATGTTTATGGATTCAACTTGGTGAGATTTGAAAATATAAATGTTCATAAGACCTAAGCAATCTCGAAATTCAAAACGGTGCAAATCACTGGAGTCAAATTCTTATTTTATGCAAAGGGTTGAAATCATGTACTCGTCTATCTATAAGATGGACTTCATTTGTTAATTAATTGATTATACCAGTTGATTTAAGTTGGCTCAAATTTGGTCTTACATGTGCTTGTTTGACTTCTAACATGCGTTATGAAAACTAAAGGCCATAGCAATGTACAACAGGTCTGGTAAGTACTACTATTACTAAGTTACCTATAGTTATTATATTGATATCACTTAGTAAACTAAGTCTACCATATTTATATTAGTTTTAATATTTATGTACAAATACCTGTGGAATACTGGTAATTATAATTACAAAACAAAAGAAAGTCATAATCGGAAAACAAATAACAAATAAAAACATTTATGGGTTCCTCGTCATCAAATTTATAATATATATATATATACATAATAAGTTTATAGAAAGTGTCCGAATGTGGCCCGAAGGTAAGTGTGCCGAATTGTGGATCTACAGGTCCTTCGTTACCGAAAAGAAAAAAAAAATTAATAATCACGCTCCACACTGGTGCCGTGTATGCGTTATAAAGGTGGCGGTCAAATCCCGCTAGTCGGCGAGACATGAGTTTACGGTTGGTGCTGCGTTCCCTCTAGTCCAGTGGTTCTCAAACGCTTCAGGCTTGCGTACCACTTTTTGTTTAATCTTATAAAATTACAAACCCAGGCCCAATTTTAAAAAAAAGAAGATAATAAACCCAATAACAAAAATTCATATTTGAAACACTTACCCAGTTCTAGTTTGGTTTGAATTTCGCGCAAAGCTACACGAGGGATTTCTACGCTAGCCGTCCGTAATTTACCAGTGATAGACAAGAGGGAAGGCAGTTAGTCAACATCACCCACCGCCATCTCTTGGAGTAGTCTTTTACCAACGAATAGTGGGATTGACCGTTACATTATAACGCCCCTACGGCTAAAAGGGCGAGCATATTTGGTGTGACGGGGATTCAAGTCCGCGACCCACAGCTTATGAAAACGAGTTTTATCGTGAGATTAGTAATATCGAAGAAAACACGACAAATGCTTGTACGAAATGATAATTTTATGCATAGTTTTATGACGTTCATTAAGTTATTACATAATTTACAGATATTTAATAAACTTTGAAACCTTCGGTAGCTCAGTGGTAAGTCTGAAAGTTTATAATGTTAAAAATTGGATTTCAATACCCGCAGTGGGCAGAGCACAAACAACCAGTTCTGTAGCTTTGTGCTTGACAATAAATAAACATAAACTGATAAAAAAAATTTGTGGCAAAGTCGATACAGTGTAGATATTTTACAGGGAATTGATGTAGTTAGAACAGTCTGTAGAACGAACTTTGTAACATGTGGGCAAATATTTTGTTTAAGCGTATGAGTAGGCAAATGTCTAGCTCAAGTGCACGAGTAGAAAAATGTCTAGCTCAAGTGCACGAGTAGACGAATGTCTAGCTCAAGTGCACGAGTAGACGAATGTCTAGCTCAAGTGCACGAGTAGACGAATGTCTAGCTCAAGTGCACGAGTAGACGAATGTCTAGCTCAAGTGCACGAGTAGACGAATGTCTAGCTCAAGTGCACGAGTAGACGAATGTCTAGCTCAAGTGCACGAGTAGACGAATGTCTAGCTCAAGTGCACGAGTAGACGAATGTCTAGCTCAAGTGCACGAGTAGACAAATGTCTAGCTCAAGTGCACGAGTAGATACTGAGCTACATTACATGGTTTCTGGAATGCTACTAGACGTCCAAACTACTATAGTATCTTTTCAAAGTTTTCACTATCAGTTGCGGATATTGCAACCTTCACGTAATATAATTTGTTATATTTCAGCACGTCACCTCTCTGGAGAAAATGTCCAAACCTTTATCGAAATGACATCTTTAAGTTCAGTAATAATTATTGGTTTCTACCATTAGACCCGTCGCTTCAAGGAAGTCCCATAACACGAGTAGCACCTCCAAAACAGTACCCTCTGATGTTTTCAAGGAAGTCCCATAATGTTTTCACGCCCTGATATTTGACCATCCGCCAAATTTTTCGTTTCTCAGAAGTTTCTAACTAGTCTACTGAGCGCTGACAGACTGCATGCTGGTCTGGGTCGGTGTTCGGTCGCGTTGTTTGCTGCCTAGGAGGGTCAGGTGCTATCTAGACTTCTTCCTCACACCTTTACGGTTTCATTTTCGCTGACAAGTGCTATTTGATCACGTGATCAGGGCCACATCCACGAATGTTAAACGTATAGCATTTAGTGCTTCTTTGCTACTTGGTTGTGTAATAACACTTCACAAACAGTTCATTGGTAAGTTGATCAATTTTTCAGACGCGTGATTCACATAAATATCTTTTAAATACACTTTTGATATGTTAGTGTTAAGTGATATTGTAAGATCTGGTTATGGGGTGACTCATTTAGTACGATAACCCTGGATATTGTTGTATTGTCTCGAATTTTTACGTGAGAAGAGAAACCATGAGTGTCTGTATTATGTAAGGGATTATCGGTGTGAAAATAATGCAGTCTTGCTGACTTAAAGGGTTTTGATATTCACTGGTGAAGTCGATAATAGTGTTTGATTGTTTGTAATGAAGCACAAAGCT